TTAAACAAAGCTAAATGTTAAAAGTTTTGATTATTTCACTCTATTTATCGGAGTTATATGAATTGTAAGCCTTGAAAGTAACCGTAGATTTAGACAGGTTTCACCTATAATTTTTTAAATAATGTTTTTCAACAGAACCCTCAACAACAACCCTACATTTACCTTACATAAGTGCCAAATTTCAGCGTACGATTGTGCAAGCTTGTGAGAAATCGAACAACAAACAAATTTAACAAAAACTGTTGTACAATGGAGGATTTGCAAGAGGGTCGTGAGAGGGTGAGAAGATCTCAAAGGTTTCCAGAATCTGGGAAAGTATTAGAGTGGGAATGTTGACCGATGTCGGTTAGTTGAGAATAGACGCGGGGTGCATCTCCCATCCCAAGTGGGCAAAAAACGGCCCAAAACCGGAGGCCGGAACTTCCCATAACCTCTTATGTTAATCTGACTACTGATTTGTTTTATGGCCGAGTTTGTTTGATTGTGGTGACAAAAAGAGGCCGGTCCGGCTACCGTGGAATTGACAACGGACGAATGCTAATTTAGAAACTACTCGGTTAGTGTCGTATTTCAGAGGTTTGCATATTTTAACATTGGTGCTACTTAGTGGTTTGTGTTTAGTGTAGTGTTAGATCGTTTTTAAATTTTTTTTATTTAGTCTTATTTTTGGGAGATAAATTATAGGTAGTCGAAAATTTAATAGGTATATTTAGTTGATACAGATTCTTCAAGATTTTACTCTGACAAGTAGGTTATTAGAGACATGGTTATCAATTATATTTATTTGCTGTACTTTGCTTATTGTGAACTATAAGCGAAGTTAACAGAACAACTAAATGAAGTATAATAATGATTATTTTATGGATAACAGAGACCTACTTAAGTGTAAATTGATATAACAATTTACAAAGTTGACCTTTCTTGGTCTTACTTGTTAGTAAGCAAATATAACATTGTGTTATTTATTTTATACTCTTATATGAGCAATCAATGTTTGCTTGTATACTCGCTTGCTTGCACAAAGATTTCGAAAACGGCTTTGGCGATTCCCTTCAAATGTTTTAGATAATTGATAATTGATTATGGTCTAAAAACGTGTTTGATGCAGTTAAAACTGCCAACAAAATCTAATTACGTAAAAAAATAAATTGAAAGTCAACATTTTTTTACATTGGCCTTAGGGTTGCCAAGTAACTATGTTGACTGAACAAAATAACAAGGAAAAAGGAAAAAAAGATTTGTAACATGTGTTTATAACAAGCCATCCACAATATACTAGCAAATTACAAAATGCAGTACAAAGGAAAAACATCAGCTATTACTATTCAGTAAATATTACACTGAAGATTATTTGATATAGGCCTAGGTGGGAATAGTTCCGATCAAATACTGATTATTTAACTTGGCTCTCTCCTACCAAAATGTAATCCCAAAGTAATCAGCTGTTTAAATAAACAAAATTTCAAAATAATGTCTATGCAAGTATAGACATATAATAAACGAGTGATTCTTACCATCGACAGTAAAATATATTTATGTGATGTGGATTGCCAGGTTAAATTTCATAACAAATTGCGATTTCACTGTGACGTAAATAATAAAAGCCAAAATTAGTTGGGAATAAAACGTTTCCTTTATATTGCTTTTACAATGGAAATAACCTGCACCGAGCCATGAATCGGTCCCCAGGTACTTTTCACTGATTTAATTATTAATCCAGACAAATCATTTTTGTTTTACTTTGGTGGATCAACAGTTATTCAAATCTGTTTACACATACACAAATTTTCATTAATCATGAACTACTTCCAAATCCCATATTGATTTATCCTTTAAGAATTATTGTAATTACGTACAAATTTGAATTCTCAAACAAATAAAAATACATTTTTAACATGATCTGGATTATATAGGCAAACCCATAAATAATTTATGGTAGCCATAAAACTATATTTGAATAACACGGGGTTTATTTTCTCCAACGGACACAGTTTGATGCGGTGAAGCCATTCAGCCCTAGATTTTTTTGCACTGTGTAATATAATGAGTATTTTTTTGCCAGGCTCTAATAACTTTAATCAAATTCAAAGATCGCGATCGCCCGTGGGACCGAGGCAGGTAGATTCAAAACATCCGCAGTTCCGTTAGCCCTTCGCGTCTGCCCTTCACGACAAAGGCCTTTCACACAAAACCCATGCTAATTCTCAGAGGGTGTTCTCACCCATTTCGGCCACTTATTTACCCCAAGCTTCTGATTCTCAGGGCTGGACTCGAAGTAGTAAAACCGTCAATGGACTCCTGATAGGTTTTTAGCGAATTTCCCTATAGGGAAGTAGCTATTACCGTAGGTCTCATGGTAAGACTTAGGCCCGGGACCGATTTACTTTTTCATTTTGATGTCCCCAGACGCCAAAAACACCATTCGTTCAAATTTTTATATATGTATATATATATAGATATATATATATATAGTTGATTTTTTTTTTATATAAATTTATTAAATTTTATTTTTAGTTGGGGTGACAGTTAAATTTTAACTTTAATTTTGATAATCATTATTATATATATAGATTTATATATATATGTGTCCGTGAACACGATAACTTGAGTAATTTTTATCCGATTTTGATGAAATTTGGTTTGAAGGTGTAAGGCGGGATAAACTTGAATGAGTTCGCGATCCAGCATGATCGGACCATGGGAACAGGATTTTATGGGGGGTTTTATGGGGTAAAAATTGGTTTTTCTCACTTTTGACCCTCAAAACACAAAATTTTCCAATTTTTCTCTAAACCTTCTTAAAGAGCTTAAAAAAACAAACAATTCAGTATATCAAAGTGTTTTTGTACAGTTATTGGTTACGGAGAAAACTAAAAAAAATTTAAATTTAAAATTCCCATGTTATTCTTATGGAGAATATTGTAAAATGTTGTAGTTTGCTTGTTTATGGATATCTTTTGATCAAACTTGGCAAATATATTCATTTTATACTAAGCAATAATTATTTTACTTAAAACACAGTATTTATTAGTTTCCTTGTAGCAGCAAACCTAGGTACTCGTTAAACCTAATGTTATTTAAATAGATCAATTGAAAATCAATTCAGCCAAATGGAAATTCGCTTAGACGGCAGGTTTGCTGCGGCGGGGGTATTTTTTATATATTTTGATGTTTCATCACCAGTGGTGTTGAAAGGAAACTGTTTTCCCATTGTTAACGCTCAGTGGGCTCTAAATTACCTGAGCCTACTTTTGGGCAGATGTAATTTTTTACCCTTATTAATTATCATATATTACTGTATAAGTAAGGATTATTTTAATGTAAACTTTGACTGTAATTATGCTACAATGAAGAAAAACGTTACATTTCTATGTTAGAGCTGTGTTCAGTTTTAGAATGAACAATATGTAAGGTTTCATATTTATAGAATTCGAAACTACGAGTAAAACTAATGAACAACATAATCTTTTGTATTCTTAATACTATTATCGTGTGAAAAAGAGCAAAATACTAGCACACTCTATTTGAGGGTTATTTAACTGTAATGTATCAAGGTAAAACTGTCTTCAGCTGGTTTAAGAGATGGGATGTCTCAATATACAAAACCAATAGTGTAGATTATATTGAATCGATTTATCACCAGTTCATTCCAACCTAGCAATTAAGTTCTCATTTAAAATTCTAGAAAATTAAAAACCGTCTTATGATAACAAAAATTAAACAGGCACTTAAATTCAAACCAACCAATTATGTGTCAAAACATTTTTATACAGATTATCAGCACGCATCCCCTCAATAACTGAATTAGCAGCAGAAAGTGGGTTTTTGATACATTTTGAAGTACTAAAAATAGTAAATTTTACTGTCGTTTTAAATAAAAGAATGTTTACAATCCTAAAAAATTAGCTGGTCAGTATGGATATGATGTCTATCCTTCAAACTGAAATGCTTGTCAAACTGTAAGGTTTACAATGATGTCACCGAACCTTCTCCATCGAAGCATCCATCTCAGATTTACCCTCAAGTTTTATTTTATTCTTGCACTAGGTAAACACTACTACGTTACACAATATGTTATCATGTGAGACAATTGACTGACACTGGACTCAACCAGTGTGTACCTTCCGCAGGACAAAGGACCTGAGAAGGGAGAGTTTCTCCCACGGGACAAGGACTGTGAGATCCCTCAGGAGCTAACCTGCAGGACCCTCTCCCCAACCTGTATAGGGAGACAAGTGTAAGTGCGATAACCTGCTCTTGTCAACTTGCTCCTTATATCTGTCATAGTCATACGTGTTATTCCTGCTTGGCTTGCAAACTCGACTTGATATATTTCGTGAGGATTTAATTTTCAAAATTGTTTCTGTCAATTTAGTTTTAACGTATTGTTGTATAGTTTATTATTTCGTTAATCACATTGCCTGTATTTAATTTGTTAAGGGATTTTTGAAACCATCTTACTTAAATGGGGGGTTTAAAAATATTTTTCTCCTAAGCAAAGGAAAAATTGCTACTATTCTCCCAATTTAATATAACTAAAAAAAAAATTCGAACACATTTTAAATATGGCATTGTAAACTAATAATTAATTGGTATAAAGGATTTATCGTTAAGGTGAATTTTCTACACTAAAGAAACATAGCTAAAACGGCATATCTGTTGAAAAGAATAGTTTCAGGAGACTTAAATTGTTTGTTGACCATTAATTAGGTAACATGCGAGAGACTTGTGCATGTGGAATTTAACTATCTTGCAAATAGAGTCAACAATCTAGACATTTTCCAAAATGCTTCTACAAGCCAGTTTACTTTCCTCGTTTTTTCTATAACACAAGATGTTTTTCATAATTTCGTATTTGTTTATCGCAAGGGAGAAATTATTTATGCAATGTCAAATCTCTGTTTGAATACAAACTCTTTTTGTTTCTTTACATTTTTAAATTCATTGTTTACAATTTTTTTACACACTCGTACAAAAGATTTAAACTGTATTTCTCATACATGTCCTGCTACTAAGTTGACTATTGCGACAGAACCCGTTTTGACTGTGGAGGTCCCTGATGAGTTCGACGGTTGAGGAGTTCTCTAGGAGGCTGCGGATGAAGTAGTCTCCCACGGGCCGCGGGACTGCGCCCCCCTGGCTACCTGTACACCCTCGGCGACCCGACGACCCGCGACCGACCGCGGGAACTACTGGACTGGACCTGTGGATATCGTAGCAATGTTACACCCCAGAAGTGTTGGAAATTGTAATAGGCTACAAAAGGAGTTCAGTTTAAAAAAGTTAAATCATGGTTCATTTTAGAATATTGCCTCTAATCAACAGAGAAGAACAGAGTACCGGTAGCTTAAATTGTCCAACTGTCATAAACCGTCATACTAGATTTTAGATTGAATCTTAACCGAGGTTGATTTTCAGTAGTATTATTTACAAACCTTTCTGTTTTTATATTGGATTATGTATTATTTTCCAATATTTAATTTTTGTGTTCAAATACGTTGAACTGATTTACAACAGATTTTAGGTTTGTTTTCTTAGTTTTCAATGTTTTTAAAATGTGTACATCAACATTTAAACTAGGCATTAAGTTCTGTACATATATGATCACGACAATACTGTTAATACTGTTCGATGAAATGGCAACCATACATAGTAGGTATTTAAAGCCAAGTATGAATGGAGATGAGTGTAGGATGAGTGGCGCGATCTTGTAGTCTTGTTAGTGACTAAAGCCGACATTCCTTAGACACAGCTGTTAATTAATAGCCCATGCAGCTAATGGCAACTAAGGGACCTTCAGTTTATAGTGGAATCCGAACCACATTTTTCCCTTGGTATATACGAATTGGTCTAATTATCAGGATAGTACTGCGGATAGTCGTAGTACTCACTCGTGTGGACGTTAATCCACACCAGGGAGTATCACATCCACAGTGCATGCCTATAAATATCCACAATTCGTGACCTCCTAGTAGCTGGATTACAGGGCGACGCCCGTCCCAGTCATTTATTAAAAAACTAACACAAAATTAATAAAAACATTTCTGAAATTAGGTCACTTACAGGTAGGGGTATATGATTCTTAAACATTAACAAGAAAATCTAATTGCATTGATGGTAAAGTAGTATACGATCGAAATCTGAAGCTGTACGTGAAATATATCGACCTGTCCTACCACACTGTCGTTGAAGTGTAATAACAAAATTGATATAAGATATAGTCAGCTTAGCTTCGTTTGTTTTTAAGTCAACTTATCAAATCTGGGTTTACAATCATAGAAAATGTTCTAAAACAAATTCTGTCAAGCATATTTCAAATCTTTAGATGGTGCAACTCGAACCTCTCATCCTCACCACGTGGTAACTCATTTACATCGCAGGTTCCCAGGCTGCAGGTTGAAGCGACAGGTCCGGAGGATGAAGATGAGTAAAAACTAGCAGATGTAGACACCCACATCCGGACGGAGCTCCTGTTTCCACCCCCTTGTAGTATACTATAGCAGTTCATTGATGGGAACATCTCCCGGGCCATTCACAAACTTGCCCACAACCCTTCTTTGGCAGGTGGGATCTTTCGCAAAGGATTCAATTCGAATTCTGGTCCTTCGAGCCGGATGCTTGGAATTGATACTTGGGTGCTTTCAAGTGCGATGGTGTAAAGTCGTGCATATGCTTGGATGTTATTTTTTGGCTATACGTTTGATCTTCAGAATTAATTTGGTATACAATCTCGCAATGGGTGGGAATCTTCTAATAACTTTTAGATCCATAGAGAAACTAACGAAAACTAACGAAGGTAAAATTGTAACATATTAGCTTACTTAGAATTCAGACTCATTGAAACGGATACTTCCACAATTAACCCGATTTTTAAAGACGACTGTGGAATAATACCACGATGTCTTACGTCGCTCTCTAAGATGTCACCATTTGGTATACTTTTTGAAAGCCACCTTATACTATCAATTATTCTCATGTTACTTTTATTGTATCCCATTTAACGTATTCAAATATATAATCTTGTAGTTCAGTGAATCTATCAATCCGAACCTTATGTATTAAGGATCTTGATTTATCATAACAAGAGTTTGTCAGAAATTTGACAAAATTTCATACAGTGAAGATAGCAACAGGCCTTTGTAAGCTACACTGTTTTTTTGAAAATTTTACGTTGTTCGTGAAATCTTTCAGAATAATGTTTATGGAATGCAGAACACACTATTCGAGGATTTCCTGTAATGTGTGTTTTATTGTATGAAAGTGGTGGAAACTAGACTAAACCATAGCTGATTTTCTTCATATTATGTTTAACGTGGACTTCCATTACGCTCATTAATCCCGACGCATAGAACCCGCAAACGGTCCAACTTGACTAGTGTTTACTGTAATTTTATGCACCTGGCAATCAACACCCAGCCCTAATCTTTCATCAGAAGTCCCACTAACAAACTCCAGTCTAGTTCTCACACACAAGTAGACGGGACTAAATGAAAGGTTCGACGCGATCGGTTAGCTAATAGCTGTAATAATCCTGTGATACGCGTTACACCAGGTAATGACAAGCCTCTTATCAACCGGAAGTATCGGGCCCAACGAGCCGCTTCCGGTCGCAACAATCAACAATCAATGCTGCAAACTTAACGTCAACTTGGGAACAAAGGTGTCATGTTTGACTTCCTGGGGAACACCTGGCGAAGTGGTCGACACTGGTAATCGTGCTTTTAAATCGGCTTAATGAAAGGATCAGGTGAAAGAGTGTTCAGGGTCACTTGCAACCGTTGAACATTGTTGTGGAGTTTTGGAGATGTATTGTTACGCGTGATGCTTTGATATCATATGGGATGTAGATGGCAATGAAGTGCTGTAACGGTTGAAAGTGCAATGGCAAGAAGTAAATACTGTACTTTTGTTGGTTGAGTGAGGTTATTTTGTGTACATATAGCAATAATACGTACTGTACTAAGTATTCAGAAGAGTTCATTTCACCAAACCTAACCAGGTCTTCAAAATCTGTCTAGCATTTTTCATAAAAGATTCAAAATTTCAACTCGAGTCACCAAAAAAGAAGGTCCACCCCTTAAAACTTAAAACCAGCAGTTCCTAATAAACCAGAAACAAATGCACTGTTCTATTATAGTAATGCAAATAAGCTTAATAATTGTAATGGTAATTACAAGTAAGTTTATTTTTCAATGCCGTTCTAATCAAATTCACGATAATGATACCGTAAAACCGTTAATACCTGTTAACAAGTATAATCGTAAATATTTTTACGATCATAAATCACATAAATTTACATAAATCACTTTATGTTCATTAAAAGTGTTGGGTTGGAAAATACATCCACAAAAACTTACAAAAACGTCCGTCAACATTTCTTTCCCACTTTATAACATTATTAAATTGTATTGGTTAAATTGACCATAAATAATTCCCGTTTAAATTGATTATATAGTAGGACAGGAGAAAGTTCCCCCATTTAATATTCGACAAGCTTGTTGTTATCCTTCCTTTTTGCCCCACCCACATCTTTGGCGCGTCAAATCTGTGGGCGTCTGCCAAATAAATCGTGTCGTCTCAGATTTTGGGGCAAAATCGTAACCACAATACTTCGTCATAACCTGCGCATTTACAGCACTGTAAATTACACTTTGGCCCCGTCAGAGAACAGTTTATTAATTTATAGATGACTGGGTTATTTACGCGTCGGAGCGGGCGGCGGCTTTAGAATTTGGGTTTAACGACCCCCGCCCGTCCACAATGACGGTTTTATTCGCTGTGCGAACCCCTAATTGATTTATTTGGTGAAAACATGTGTTTTAAACTGAAATCGCTTTTGACCGCCTGACCTCTAACTTTTTGGGAGAATCGCTTGGGAACAGGTGAAAAGAATTCCATCTTTGGTGTAAAATACTATTACCATGTTTATGAGACCTGATATATTAAGGAATAGTTGTGTAAACCCCTAATTGATTTCTTTGTTGAAATCGTGTGTTTACAAACAAACTCCTACATCTTTTTGGGGGTTGTTCGGGACCGGTTGAAGAGAATTCGATCTTGCAAGTAACGTGTTCGCATCTCCTTGAACCTACAATATTTAGGAGTTCTTAGACTTGTTATGGTAAACTTACCTTAACAACTTAACTTAACTTAACTTAACTTACCTTGTTAAGAGTTATCTTAGTTTTTTTTTTTCATACAACAATGCCTAGGTGCGTAAATATGAGTGAGGGATGAGTGTTGAAAGGAGTCATTGATCTGTGTAGCTTACTGACCAAGATCAGCTGTTTTCTTAAGACAGGAGCGAGTTTCGAACCATCAACAAACTACTACCTTTTCTAAAGTGACCTTGAAATCTTACGTTCATTTATTTATATTTTTAGATAGGCCTAGTACTGTATGTCCATTGATTAAACGCTCTTGGTTAGTCTCTGGTACAGTATATCTAACCTCTTGTTAAAAATAAGTCATCCAGTTTTAAAACACCTTCCACAAAATTGAATGTACCAATTAAATAACACTAGTGGTCGTCCAGTGGTCGAAAACTCGACCAATAGTAATCTACACACATTGCTATTGGATACTGAAGTAGACATCCCACCTATATGGACCAGCTGTCACCATTTTTTACTTAAAACATTTAGTTAAGTGAGCCAGTCAAAGAATGTAAACTAAAATTCTATTTCCTACCTTTTTTTTTGTTGCTGATAAAGTAGATGGGTCATAAAAGTTGTTATAACTCATAATAAGTAGTTCCAAAAGTTTTACTTGATAAAAAACATTGTGTATTCTACAGAAATTATTCATTTAGATTAGAGAAATCTGTTGGTGGCTCACATCAACTGAGACGAATTTAATTTAATTTAAAAACTGGCGTCAACTTAACATTGGGATGGGAACGAAATGTTGTAAGTCAAATGGTCGAAGGTAGAGGCTTCTCTATTTCCACCCCACCCTGTAAATAAAACATGTAATTGTAATTTCTTACATTTCTTTTGATTTTCTGTTTATAATTTGTTGTTATTTCGTCACCAGCATGGCAACCCATAAAGCCCATGTTAATTAAAAAAAAATTCAAATTCATTTTTTGTGCTTATATTTGAGCCTATTTTAATTTTGAAGGGGATTCTGCACATCTACAGGAAAATATCTTTCTAACAGTATGCGTAGATTTTCCCTACGATGCCCACGAGCTGAGAAAAA